TTAGATGAAAACTACACCACAACCAGTGATGAAGGCTCTTGGGAGGGTGCTCCTTTACAACTACCAGTTCAGTAAATCTTCATAGTATCCCAGTGGAACAAGTCCTAATCACATTATAGATTAATTTATCAAGTCTCCCACTGGTTGATTCACTTGATCATACAAACGATACAAGGTATCTGGGACTGAATCCTAGTAGTCTCTGCCTTTAAATCCCTCTCAGGGGGGGAGAAGCACAGTTTTAGCGGTGATCAGTTTCACCCTTCTCAATACCTACTCAGTACAGAGGGAAGAGCTCAGGTAATCACAGAACAAACAGGTAAGACAGCTGTGATCACCCTGATGTCTGATCAGTTGTACATAAGAGTGGTCCAGTAAAAGGATGTAAACAGAGGTTAGCATGTATACTAAGTTACTAACATCAGGATGTTGTTATTGTTGTTAGGTGCCTGGAGTAGTAGATGACTCATAGCGACCCTATGAAGGAAAGGCCTGAGCACTGTTCATACATAGAGTATCCGGAGGCAAGCCATTTCAGAAGTGGATGCCGCTCCTGCTTCCAGGCTTGTTTTAGTTGGGAAGCTCCAGCCAACACTGTCCACCATGGGTACCCATTACCACGTTTGGCACATCAGTGTTAGTGTTCAGCATCACAGCAACCACAAACATCAGGCTGTAAAAGTGAAATTCTGGGGGAGCTCTGGTGGCCTAGTGGTAAGGAGCTGCAACTACAATACCAGAGGTGCACGGTTCAAATCCACCAGAAGCTCTGCCGGGGAAGGAGGAACAATCTCCTCCTGTACCAGTCAGATCTGATTTGACGGTACACTGACACAAAAATAATAAAATTTTTAAAATAAATAAATAAATAAAAGTGAAATTCTGACATGCAAACTTTTCAGAGGTTCCTGTGCCCCAGGCTGCAGATGTAATGAAAACGGCAAACCAAACGCAGTCTGAACTCACTCACTGACATTGATTTGAATCGACTCACAGCTGACCCTCCCGCGGGTTTTCGGAGGCTGCCAATCACATGGAAAAGGACTGCTTATCTTTCTCTCTCAGAGCAACTGGTGGATTTGAACCTCCTGCCTTGGGATTGGAGAACTCCTTTATCTCTAGGCCACATCGTCCCTGAAATTATCATCAACTCTGAGGTTGCAAAACCAGCATGTTCGGTATGCTGACAAAATTCCACAACCCTCTTATCTTGGGGTGGGGGTGGGAAGCAAAGAGCAGAGCTTTGCTGCCTGGAAGTGGCCAAGTTGAAAGGGGAAGGTAGCCACATCTGCACAGGCCAAGATGAGAACCCGAGGGAGAAGGCCTGTGCAAGTCAGAAGAGCACGCGGTGAGACAGGCAAGTGGACAGGAGCCTGGGCATCGTGTCTGATGTACCAGGCAGAGTGGCAGCAAGAACCAGCTCCAGCTTTTGTGCCAAGAGGATCCTGGTTTCCACATTCTAGAGAACAGGCCTGACTCAGGACAAGCATGGCAGCAGGAAGACAGATAGATGATTGCTATTTCTGTTCAGATGATGACAGCTTGGACAGAGTAAGAAAAACCCAGCATAAAAAGTGTGGCTTCGGGAGCTCTGGTGGCCTAGTGGCAAGAAGCTGCACTACAATCCCAGAGGCGCATGGTTCAAATCCACCAGATGCTCTGCATCACTGTCTGTGCCCTCAGAACCAAAAAAAAA